TAAGGTCAACACTTCAAAGTATATAGACCTGATTTGTAAATGACTGTTTTAAATAAAAGTTGTATAAGAGTCACCCATGACCATATATCAAGGAACAGGTATCAGTTTCTCTGACACTCAGAGTATGAAACATACAATCAGGTGTAGAAAACATTGAAATATGGAAATCAGGACTTCTTGATGGGCAGTACATACAGAAATAATATCAATTCATCAAACATTAATGGAAGTAAATTGTCAGCTTTTGTTATCAATCAAAATATTTGAGAATATAATCTCAAGGAAAAAAGTAGAGACATGCTAAGAAAGACTATACAACAGGTAGGATAAACTTGGTTTTAAGAACTCATTAAAATTTAAAGGAGATGCAGTATGTAATCAGAATAAAATGAAATCATATATCTGAACAACATCAGGTCCTCAAAAACATGCTTAGGATGGGGGAATCTTCTGCATGTCGTTTTATTTGAAACTTACAGAGAAATGCATTTTGAAACAACAAACGCTGAAGGTGTAAGATGTAGAGAGATATTTTGCCATTTTGGGAAGAAAGAACATATCTAAAAGAAAGTAAAATGCAACCCAAAGAAGTTGATAAGCTGCAGATGTGAAGAACCAGATTCCAAAATCTAGTATGTATGTAGATAAGCACAATGAAAAAGTTTCCCACATGATTAAAGATGCCCTAAGACAGAGAAGTTGGGTTGAATTCTGTCTCTGGCAGTTGTTCAGTAAACCAATCCAAATTTCATGGGATAGATCAGCACCTGCCTTTTGCTAGAAACTGTTATCGGGTGAGGACACAGCAGGGAAAAGAGACCAAAATCCCTGCCCCCAGAGAGCTTATGTTATTATCACCATGAAATTTTATTTTATTTTTTTTGTGGAGAAGCCAAAGTAGAGGGATATTGTCAACATAATAGATGTAGGCTGAGCCATCCTCTCTATGAACTTTTAAGCAAGGTTGCTCTCTGAGAGTTACAAGAGTACTGTCCACACACAAATTTCATAATCAGACAATTTAGTAAGTACATAAAAACATTAGCTGAAAAACTGAAGAATTTTAGAAAACCTCCAACCTAAATCAAGGTGACCCAGGGGTAATCTCAGGGAGACAGGATCATATGTGGCTTTCGCTTGGTAAACGAAAGCTAATGAGTTGTAATAAACCCTGTTTGGAGAAAAAATGCTGAGAACAGAAGGCAGTTGGTCAACCCTGAAAATCCAGGGAAAGAGTCCTCCAAGGTACTTGCTGGCAGTGCCGTCGGAAGCACTGTTCGAAAGAGGGAATTGTGTTTCATCAGGCTTGGCACGACCTTTTCCGTGACCAAACTCTCTACATGAGCAGAGGGCTCCCAGGTACCTTAGCAGAATCTGACTCTGCTCACCAAGAAATGCTCTGATGCAGCTTATCTAGAGACAGAGATAATGCAGTGCTGGGAGAACATACAGTCTATCTTTAAGTTCTGTTTTCAGGATAAACTAACCTTCTGGTTTATATATGTCCTTATCAGAAGCTTGGTTAATGTGACTCCATTCCTGAAAAGTGGATCCACCCTTGATGCAGATTTCTGAGTTTACAGGGTTGAGAACTGAACCAAATGTCCCTTGTGAGGTGCTCTTTAGCCACTTAGTTTTCCCCAGGTATGTTCATATTTGTTTTATTGTCCGCCTCCTTCACACTGCAATAGCCTGGTCAAAATATCCAAGCGTTTTCTAGTCAACGAATAAGAGGAGAAGAGACGGAACTAGGGCAGAAGACATTCAGGTTGGGGAGAAGAAAGAGGTTTCTGGTGCATCCTTGCTTATATCCCACACAGCATCTAACACGGTGCCTTGTGTGGAAGTGGTGTTCAGTAAATAAATGCATTTATTTCCCTTTGTCCTCTGAAATAGAATTGCATGTACAGATGGTCCCCGATTTATGGTGTTTGACTTACAAGTTTTCGACTTTTCAATGGATTTATCAGGGACATAATCCCATTGTAACTCAAGGACCTTCTTATGACTTAAAATGGAGTTATGGTTTCTACTGAATGTGTATAGCCTTCGTACCATTGTAAAGTGGAAAAATCACATGTCAAACCATTGTAAATCGAAAAATCATAGGTTGAACCATTGTAAGTCTGGACGATCTGCTACTGTAGTGCCAATGATAAATGGGTTTTCAACTCAGATGTTCTCAACTTACTATAGGTTTATCAGAATGTAGCTCCACCATGAATCAAGGAGTATCTGGATATTGCTAATCTATACTGAAATATGTTTAGAGAATGTTAGTGAGTCTTGCTTCAGGTATCTTACTCTGGCCTCCAGACTTATAGCAGGAGGGACCCAGACCAGCATCTTTGAGTTCCTCCTCCTCTGGTGGGGACTCTCAGAGTGACTAGAGGAGTGGTGTATTCTCTTCCTGTTGTTCCTATGAAGGTACGTGGTCACTGTGGCTGGGAACCTGCTCATTGTCCTGGCCACAGACACTGACACACGTCTCCACATCCCCATGTACTTCTTCCTCACCAGCCCGTCATGTGCAGACATCCTTTTCACTTCCACCACCGTGCCTGAGGCCCTGGTGAACATCCAGACCCAGAGCAGGTCCATCTCCCACCCAGGGTACCTGGCTCAGTTCTACTTCTCCCAGATCTTTGGACACATGGACATCTTTCTCCTGGCCACAGTGACCCATAACCACCTGCCATCTTCTCCACTACATGATGGCCACACCCCACCCTGGCTCCAGCACTGCACCTGTTAATACTGGGGGACTGCCTTGTTGCCACGGCCCACACCTTCCTCATATTCCAACTTTCCTTCTGCTCTGCAATGTCATCCCTGACCTTTTCTTCGATCTGGGACTGTGATAAAAGTGTTTTTGTCTGATGTGCATTTGGCAATCTTGTGCTTGTGCTCTTTGGGGAGTGATTATTTTAACCCTTTTCTTAGTTTTTTTATTTACTGAAATGTAATTTATATAGAGTCAAATACATAGATCAATAAGTTCAGTTCAATATTTTTTGACAAATATATACACCCATATTATCATCATCCAAGTCAAGATATGGAACATTTTATTATCCTAGAAAGTTCCTGCCCTTTTCCAGTTGTCTCCTACCTTGAGGCAGCCACTGATTTGATTTCTATCTTCATATTAATACATTAGAGATTAGATTTACCTGTTCATGAACTTCACATAAATGGAACCATATATTATGTACTCATTGTACATACATTTCTGTTTGACTTCATTTACTCAGCATAATGTTTTTGAAATTCATCTACATTGTTGCATATGTCAATAATTTGTTCCTTTTTTATTTCTGAATAGTATTCAATTATACGAGTTTATCACCATTTTTTCTTACCTATTCCCATGTTAATTAACATTTAGATTATGTCCAGTTTTTTGAAATTATGAATAAAGCTGCTATGAACATTCCTATACAAGGTTTCTACAAGGTTTCTTGTGGACATATGTTTTCATTTCTCTTTGTTATATACCTAGGATTAGTACTGCCGCGTCAGAAGGTAGGTGTATGTTTAACTTTCTTAGAAACTGACAAATAGTTTTACAAAATGATTGGACTAATTTCCACTTCCATTGGCAATATTTGAGAATTCCAGTTGTTCCGCATCCTTGTTGACACTCGGTATTATCAGTCTTTTAATTTTAGCCATTATACTAGCCCTCTTACATTGTATCTTATCATCTTTTTCTTTACCTGTATTGGATCAGCTAACCTTGGAGTCTTCATTTCCCCAGAGAAGCACCTGTGGCCCCCACCTTGCTGTCATCTCCCTGGTCTATGGGACAGCTTAGTAGAAGGGACCCAGCAGCCACTGTGTTGTACACAGTGGTAATGCTCATGCCCAACCCTTTCATCTGAGGGAAAAAAGCCTGAAGGATTCTCTGGGGGTAAACATCAGGGCCAAAATCTTCTTATTGTCTCAGTGAGGTGGGCAAAGAATGCGGGCTCAGGAAAGGAGAGAATAAAGCTAATAAGATGAACAAAGTAACAATAATAGAAGTTACCCTTCATTGAA